CATAAATAGCGAAGTGCAAATATGCTCATGGCTTGTGGGGTCTAAGGCTTTGCACATCCATTCTTCCCATGCAATAAGGATAACTCAATGCCAATACTTGGTGGTTAGTTTACATAATGTTAGCATGTCATTTCAAAAAAATTGGTGCATGAACTTGTGATGTGATATGATTCATTAACTTCATGAGAATAACGTATCTCCTCATACCAGAAGATAACTTACATCATTCTGCTAGTGAAAGAAAGACATTTGTATTGTTTTGTTTAGTTCTAGAAATATTTTTGTAGAAAATGATTAAATGGTACACATGTCATTGTTTTAGTGGTTAGAAGAGATAATTTATCTTCTTATACCGGGAGATACATTATTCTCTAACTTCATATATGTATCGTGTTTGAGCGGTCCATACAAGGCAAATTTTGATTAAATAAGTTCCATATTAGAAGTTGTCCATTTCTTATCTACCCATACGTGCTATAGTGGATTTGATTCAGATTTAGATTCAATCTAAAATCAGTGAAGTAAATAAATTAAATGAGATAAAAGAGACTGGAACTTAGAATCACTCAACGCTGAAAAACAATCGTTCATTCATATGTTTCATTTAGAAAGGTAAAAAAGAAATTTATTATTTGTGTAACTATTTCTTAAATGCTTGTATCATATTTTTATAGGATAGTTTCCCTTTTAAATGCTTCCATTTTGTTTTTGCTCTCCTCACATCATTTTAAATGTCATTTAAAAAATATGGGACTAAAGGGATAGAACCCCTCCTCACTATTTATCCAAAAGAGACATAGTAGATGAATTCAAGTGAATGAAGAATATTATAAGGCCATAATATTTCAACTTGTTAAACCACAGTCAAACTACATGCTTGGTTCACACAAGCCCATCCTAGATAGGACCATAAAGGCCTTTGACTAGTGATCATCTCTCGGGTATTGGTTATAGATCATGGAAAAAATAGGCCCATACTTTAATTATTTTAAATAAAATAATATTTAAAAAACAACTTTATTTCCCCCTATTGGAAGCCATTACAAGTAGTAAATCTTGATATAAAGTTTAGGAGCATCAATATTTAATTATAATTTATCAAAAGATTAATTGAGTAACAAAAAATTATAAAGAAACATATATAATTGCTTCAAGTTTCAAAATAATATATTAATTTTTAAGACATTAAAGAAAAATGTACATTCATTTCCATCAATCAATTTTAATTTTTTTAACTTAAATTCATCGATGATTGAATTATAAGTAAAATTTTCATTTATTTCCTTTTTAATATAAATCATCATATTTTATGCAAGAAACTAATCTTCCATCTTCCTACTTAATTTTGTTTAATTGTTTTCGTTAATGAAAATGAACATTTCATATTAGTTGAACCACAATATTTAGATAAGATGAATATCTCGACCAATCAAGTAATATGCATTAATATTCACCGTTTTATGAAAATTGCATTTAATTCATAGACGAATAAGAGTTTTTCAAACATAAATAACTAAAGACATAAACAATAAAATGTTGAAAATGACATAACAAATTAATATTCTCTTACTCATTGAAACCCAAAGAGTATTTTTTTTTTTGCACAAAAATACATATATTATAAATATTAAACGATTTATAAAAATCCTTGGGATCTTAGGATGTTGACTTCAAAGTTTGATAAAAACAACATGTGATCCTCATAATCTATTTTATCATGTGTAAAATCATTACAAATTCAAATGAAGATATAGTATTATAAGCAACATCAACATTTATACATGCAAAAGAATTTCAGCAATTATCATTATTTTTTGAAGAAGCACACAAATTACACTGTACATGTTTGAAGATTGAGGAAAAATAAAAGCTTAAACAGTTATTTCCATGAAGATGTTGTTTGAGTGTAAGTAAAAATGTCAAAAAGTATTATAATAAGTTAAAAAAAATCAGAGGGAGCAGCTGCCGCTACTACTACTTTAGGAACCACAGTTTAATTCTGAAGAGAGATTGGAGTGGAAGTCCTCTATACCACTAACCAGAAAGTGTCATAACAATTAAATTTGTCAAGTTATAAGTAATTAATGATAGTTTTAATTGAGTTGTAGATCTATTATAGGTGGCATAAAGAAATGGTAGTCATGCATGTTTTATGGGTAACTAGATTGAATAAATGGGCACACACTAAAACTTATATTTATGGATTATTATACCTGGTGACAAATAATTTCAATTATATCTCCATCAATGAATAGATTAAGAATATAATATCTATGTACTGACAGTGTAAAAATTTATACACATTTGTTGTATTATACACAATTAACTAGTCAAGGGAAAGAAAAACATTTAATGAGAGGTCACTATGAGAAAAACATTTAATGAGAAGTCACTATGAGATAATAGAATAGGAGAGAGAAGATGAGTGTAGATTTCAAATTTCTCTTCCTATGCCATAAAGTAGGGAGAGAGAAAACTGTGGTGAATCGTATGCCAATTT